TCGCCTTTGCAATTTAATTTAAAAGTAGAGTGTTCTCAGTAGTTTACTTGAGAACACTTTGTGAACTCGTCTATGTAGGTCCTATTGAAGGTGGCAATAGCGGGTGCAATAAAAAAAAGAATGTCGTAAGGCTAAAGTAATCAGACACTGTTCATAGTAGAATTAAAACATGCATTTTAGAAAGAAAATTTGTTGAATTTTTTAACCGACTTATAAAAGAAAAAAGTTATCGGCTCGATTGTATTTTATATCACTTTTTAATAGAATAAGGGTGACTAACAAGCGCACAATCCACCTGATGGTAAGTTGATGCTGTGGCCCATTGACATCTACATTTATCCTCGATTAAGAATCAAAGTGCAGATGCGTTGTCACCGCTGAGGACTAAGATGGAATGCCCCGTTTCCAGTAAAAAAAGGTTCTCCGGTATTCTGTGAGAGCGTGGCCCTACTTTGGTCGAACCCACCCATACCTGCTACAACTGCAGCGTGATTATTATTTTTTATTTTTTTTCTACCACGTATAAATAAAAAGCATGTGACATGTAGAGATATCACAGCAACTTTAGTGTAGGTGATGACAGATTAGTGTTGTAAAACTTGAAGATGCATAAAATGGATCCATGGGGTACAACCGCAAGTAGATTAATTGATTGTACATAATGTAACACGATGTTTTCGAGGTTAGTGTTAATTGATGTAGGTTGTAGGTAATAGTTAAATAACTAAAATTGTTAAATTAGTTTAAGCTACAGTTAACATTATTCAGAATTATTGTATACATGATTTATCATTGTATTTGTGTATATTAGCCGATGTCGTTTGCAGTCTATTTAACGTTAATACACATTTGAGATAGTGATCTTTCGATTTAGTCACGCCATAAATTGCAGTAGCAGCGTGTTCGAAACTTGAACTTATTTTTAATCTATACAAATATATAAGAAGTGTCTGTTTGTAATGTCAAAATTATAGTTTTTTATTAAATGCATATGAAAGCAAATACGGTACTTATAACTAAAATACAATTTTAAAATTTTTCTGTCTGTCTGTTTGTTCCGGGTAATTTCCGAAACGGCTGGACCGATTTTGACTTTAGCGGGACGGGTAGATAGCTGATTTCATAAGGAGTAACTTAGGCTACTTTTATTTTAGAAAAAGAATTAGGGTTCCGCGCAAAACATAAAAACCCTAACACGCGAGCGATGTCGCGTGGAACAGCTAGCCTATTCATTAAATTGTAATAATTGTTATAGAACAAAATAGTTTCTGCTCTTATTTTCACTCTCTGTTATTTACAGAATACGGCCCTCCCTTCACTTAGTTTTCAATTCGTGAGGTATTTTGCATTTAAATTAAATACACTGAAAATTGTTTATTATGTTTCCGTTTCATTTATTTTCTATACATTACATATTACACGTAATTTCATTATTATTAAAAAGTATTGTATAATTTTCTGTAAATAAGAAGGTCAAGGTCACATTAATATCTATATTTTTTATTGATGTCCGTTACTTCCTATAAAATATGACAATAACTATGAGTATTCGGTAGTGATGTACCCCTAGCCGAATTCGACCACATCACTCCAATTTTCTCGGACGCTTATTATATTCATTGGTGATATTATAAGTATATGCGTTTAAACATATATTACTCTCCATAATCAGAAGTAAAAGTAAAGCTTCAGCTTTTATATATTATCTTATTTATACGTGGTAGAGCCACGCTGCAGCTATATTATGATTGTAGCACGAATGGATGGGCTCCAACGGGGAAGTACCACGCTCTCACAGAATACCAGCGTGAAATAGCAACTGTTTCGTATGGTGAGTGTAAACAGAAACAGAAACAGAAACTTTTTTATTCAATATAGATTATAAATAATACTTATTGAAAGTCATTCTTTTGTTTGATTACCACTGGTTCGGAAAAAACCTCTGTCCTGGGAAGAACCAGCAAGAAACCCAGCGGGACTTTTTTTTTTAAATAACAGCTTACAATCATGATGTTACACAAATTAACAACACAACAAATTAGAAATAGCTTGGTAGCGATCACCTCATTTCCAGGGGTTATTATCATCCATAAATTCCTTAATATTATAATAACCCTTTTTATACAAACTTAGTTTAATAAAGTTTTTGAACTTTGAACAGGCCAAACTTTGTATATTTTCTGGAATTTTGTTGTAAAAGCGTATACATCGCCCCAAGAATGAATTACTGACTCGATGGAGTCGAGTAACTGGTACTACTAGCTTGTGTCTGTTCCTAGTATTTACAGAATGAATATCACTTATTTTTATAAAACTACTTTTATTTTTGTGTACGTACATTAAATTTTCATAAATGTATTGAGAGGCCAAAGTTAATATATTAATTTCCTTAAATTTTTGTCGCAGCGACTCTTTAGGCTTTAAATCATAAATTGCTCTTATGGCCCTCTTCTGCAAAACAAATATAATTTCTGTGTCAGCTGCGTGTCCCCATAGCAAAATACCATACGACATTATGCTATGGAAGTAGCTGAAGTAAACTAGTCTAGCTGTTTCAACACTGGTTAGACTTCTAATCTTTTTTACAGCATATGCTGCAGAACTAAGTCTGCTTGCTAGTTTTGATATATGGGGGCTCCATCGAAGCTTCGCGTCTAGTGTGATTCCAAGAAAAATGGTGGTATCTACAAGACTCAGTTTCTCCCCATTTAAAATTACATTAGTATTTAATTGTTTGACATTTGGAGTCACGAATTTCATACATTTTGTTTTAGTGCCATTTAAATGCAAATTATTAACATCGAACCAATTTACTAATTTAGATATAGCATTATTTACTTCGTCATATTTTAGTAACTGTCGACTTAATTTGAAAATTAAAGAAGTGTCATCTGCAAATAATACTATATCATGGCTATCCCCTACTATGTAAGGTAAGTCATTAATGTATACAAGAAACAGAAAGGGGCCGAGAATTGAGCCTTGAGGCACGCCCATTTGTACCATCGATCCGGAAGAGCTCATATTGTTAATGACAACTTTTTGCGTTCTCTTACTTAAATATGAAATAATTAATTTAAGGGCATCACTTCTTACACCGTAGTGTTGAAGTTTCCTGATTAATGTTTCATGGTGAACACAATCGAAGGCCTTGGATAGGTCACAAAATATACCCAAAGCATCCTGTGAATTCTCCCATGCATTAAAGATATATTTAATCAGCTCAACACCGGCATCAGTTGTCGAGCGACCCCTTGTGAAACCAAATTGATTTTTATGAAGTAAATTATTTATATTAAAAAAATTTAACATTTGATCAAGAACAATTTTTTCAAAAATCTTACTAAGTGTTGGTAGTACAGAAATAGGTCTAAAATTGGCGGGGTCTAATGTACTACCAGATTTAAATAAAGGTATTACTTTACTATGCTTCATTAAATCAGGAAACACACCAGATTCGATACTAGTATTAAAAATAATAGCTAAATGAGGCGCGATTGTATCTATTATAGACGCAATAACTTTAACGGAAATCCCCCACAGATCCGCAGTTTTCTTAACATCAATAGTTTTAAAATATTTTACAATATCTTTTGATGTCACTTTATGAAATGTAAAATTCTTTGTACACACATTTACATTATGTTTAAGTAATGATTCGGCGACGGCAGGAGAAGAATTTAGTGACTTAGTGGTCAAGATCGGAATATCAGTAAAATATTTCTCAAAAACCATTGCTACGTCCTGATCTGATACAGTTAATTTGTTGTTAACACTTAACTGGTAATTTGAATTGCGAGAGTTGATCTTACCAGTTTCGCTATTAATTATACTCCATGTCATTTTAATTTTATTGGAAGCCGTCTTAATTTTGTTGCTCAAATGCAAAGACTTGGCTATGGAGCACACTCTTTTAAATATTTTTGAATATTTTTTTACATATTCCCTAAATTCGACGCTATGATTATATGACCTTTCATGGTAAAGATCATATAACCTATGCCTGCTCTTATGGACTCCTACTGTCGCCCATTCATTGAATGACTTCCGACTGTTCAAGGAGAATGTTTTAGAAGTAAAAGTATTATTAAATTCATTGCAAATAAGCTTAAATAATGTTCCATACAAAAAATTAGGATCATTTTGGTATGAAAGTGATGGAAGTTTTTTCACTATGTTACTTCTAAATTTCTCCAAGCGACGTGCATTTACTGGAACAGACACAACTTTCTCATCTACTTGCTTTTTGTGAACATAAGGTAACGAAACTACTTGTCCACAGTGATCAGAACTTAATTTTTGAATTATACATTTATGCAACGGCTTCACATTTGTAAAAATGTTATCTATACATGTTGCACTAGATTGAGAAATACGCGTTGGCTCTATAAATAAATTAAAAAGACCATATGATTTAAACAATGATCTAAATTTAATATTGATGGAGGAAGCTTCTAGGAGATTGATATTAAAATCTCCACATATTACAACAGATTTATTCTGTTTATTAAGCTTAGCAAAAACTTCCTCCATAATGTTTTCAAAAGTATCATATGTACAACATGGGGGTCTGTAGACGCTCACAACAATGAGGTGCTCAAACTCAACACATGCCATTTCTACAGTTCGCTCAACAGAGAGGCTCACAATGTCTTTACGTTCTTTACATGATAATAATTTACTAGCTAATATTAAGGAGCCACCTCTTAAAACCGTATCTCTATTGAAAGAACTGACCACCTGGTGATTACTGAAGTTAAACATTAAATTATAAGATTTTAACCAATGTTCAGTAATACATAAGATATGAATATTGTTGCTATTTAAGAACAACTCAATTTCTAGCTCTTTGCCTATCATGCCTTGTATATTTTGATGCACCAGGTGTAAACAATTTTCATTATCTTTCTGTGGAGTCATACAATTAAAGATTTGTAAGCCACATTCTAAATTATTTAAGTTATTATAACTGCTAGAGATTACCTCTATTGTCTCATTTTCTAATTTAAATTACTTGGAACTGATTCCAAATTGCATGTTAAGTCATTACACTGCTCAAAAGAAGCAGATGTCTGTGTAGCCAAGTCCTTGGCTGAGTTAATATATAAATAATAAGATAGCACATTTGCTATCTGTCTTAAATTATATTTTGATAGGTAATACCTATCTCTAGTCAAAAATTTCTTAATTAAATTATTTATATCTATTAAATTAATTCTATCATTATAATTGTAACAATTAAATGTCAAGTTTAAATTATTATTACATGAAAAGTTATTCATTAATAAATTTAAATCATATCTTATTTTATTTTCCTGCGGCCAACCCTGTATGTAAGGCAATGTAAACAAGATAATTTTATGTACATTTAAAGTATTTAGATTATCAATATATTTTAATAATTGATTTTTGTTTACATTGCCTCTTCTCCCAACAAGAATAATTAATGTGCTATTAGGACAAAATTTACTAGCTAAAACTTTATTCATTATATGACTAAAGGATGCTCCAGGCATGCAATAATTAGTGATCATATGTCCTTTTAAACAGTTATTTAACATCATGCCCAAATTTTTGCCTATGTCATCACAATACATAATAACTTTATTTTTTTTAATATTTACATTACTTTTTAAGTTTATATCCTTTGTCATAGCACTGTCATAGAGTGTAGATGAAAATAATGAGGTCTTACTGTTAACTTTGTTATTTACACATATTGTCCCCGATGAACCTGGTATGGAGCGCTGATACTCACTCTGATTTTTTATTAAGGAGTCAAAGCGCTCCTCATTATATTTACATGATTTTACCAGATCATTCATGGCCAATATGTGTTCTTTTATCTCATCTTGAGCCGATGCATATTTATTTGATACAATTTCTAGAGAGCTTTTAAGTGATAAAATTGTTGAATGTAGACACTCTATATCAGTCTCATAACAGTGATTCATATTTTCCACCTCAATTGAATATATTTTAAGTTTATTAATTAGTTCTTGCTTTTCTTTGCATACATTTATATAATTTTTAACATTAATTTTAGTTTTAATTAATTTTTGTAGTTTTCTAATATATTTATTAATTTTTATATATTTCTTTAATTTTCTTCTACTGCAGGTAGTTCTTGCTGCTGTTCTTGACATGACATAATCATCACCAGTCAAATCGATTGTTGTGGAGGGTTGCAATGCTTTAGATTTAGTAGATTCACACTCTATGAGCTCGTTGAACAGACTTTGAGTTTGGGACGCTTTCATGTTATCTATGTAATGTTTTAATAAAACAATCTGCTCATTAGCCTCACTTAACTGTAACTGCAATGCAGCAATTAATTTGAGGGATTCCTCATATTCCTTGCTGCATTGGTCAAACTCATCGACTGTTCTCTGAAGTTGATCCCTTTCTTTTGTAACAAATGTATATTCTTTATGCAACTTAACCATGTCACTTTTTAGTTTAGTATTTTTAGCAATTATATTTATTATTTCCTTTTCATTGTCATCCCTTTCTTTAATTAATAGCTCACACTGCTCCTTTGACGCCTTAAGTTCTTGAAGCGCCATTTGAAGTTGGTTCTCCAATTGGCGCGTTTTGGCGTTGCGTGTATTCATTTTACTATTAAATGTAAATAGCAAAAGAAAACAAAGAAAGAAAACCAAAGAAGCAGAGTAAGCAAATGTCGAGATGTATGGGCGTATTTACAGATCTCAAATTAAATTATCATGTAAATAATTCAAAATGAAATCCACAACAACACTTAATAGGTAAATCTTAAAATGTTAAAGGGATAACAAGAAATTACACTTACAATACGTTTAAACGATGTTCGTTACAGCTGTTACTTTTGGTTGAAACAGTAAACACAATGTATGTAATTAAAATAGGTACTTCTGACTTTTACTTATATCACAAACACAAATAAGTCGTATTTAACAACTGTAACTCAAAATTGAGGTGGATATTATTAATTTACAATATTTAATATTTTAAAATAGTTGGGAGCAATTATTTTACAACTTGTCACCGGGGTTGCCACAGAAAAAAAAAAAAAGAAAAAAAAAAAAAGAAAAAAAAAAAAAGAAAAAAAAAGAAAAAGAAAAAAAAAAAAGAAGAGTAAATGTAGAGAAGCGGAAACCGTTATTACTGAAAATGAAACATTTCATCTTGGTCATCAAGGATAAAAACGCATCTGCATTTTGATTCTTAATCGAAGATAGATGTAGGTGTTTATGGGCCACTGCATTCACTTACTACTATACAGGCCACCTGTGTGGTCGACAACACCCTTATTCTGAAAAAAGTAGAATTCGATGTCCATCGTAGTTCTCAGAAAGGACAAGGCATCTGTAGACTTTGTTTGAAGTTGGTTGCAAGTGTATTTGAGCTACAACCGCTTACCGTTAAATAATTTTTAAACTTAATTGCAATAAATCTTTGTAGTTAATATAATTTCTCTCATTTTCTCCAAAATTTACTACACCAATTATACTCTTTTAGGAAAGAAAACATTAAAAACAATGAGGAATATTTTTGCTCTCATTAACAAAGCTCAAAAAATAGAGATAAAACGTAATAAAACCTTTGCGGTTATTAAAACAGAATAAACAAATTGGCCGTAATTCCTTATTAATGTCCGCTTGTTATGATTGTTGAATGTCAGCAAGTAATAAATTTTCCTTTGCGAAAATTTTCTGAGGCTTCTGAAATTAACACTCATATAGCTTCTGTTTATATCTCTGCTGTGTTTGTTAAGTTTATGATGCATCCTAATTTGTGTTTTTTTTTTGTTATTTACAATCCTTGAAAACTGACTCATATATTTTTAAGCAACTTATCCCAGATATTTAAAGTTGAAGCACGCTTTTATCTAGGTTTAGCTGGCTAAAATTAGATTTAGCCGATTGCGGTTGGTTAAACTTAGTTATATTCGATTTTTAAGGGTTAAAAGTAGGTGTGATCGGTCGCTATCATATAAAACTGGGTATAGTGAAATTCGAATTATAAGAAATAATTAATTTTGTCGAAATTACGAAAGCTTATATCAAGTAATACTAGCGACAGTAGTTAGTAGCCGGCTCAACCTTTGTGTAACCGCAATTCGGCTTTATAAATATATTGGCGATATACATACATATATATACAGTCGTGTAGTGGAGGTCAAGAATATCCACTACCCCATATCTTCCCGTGGGTGTCGTAAAAGGCGACAAAGGGAAACAGGCAGGAGATGGGCAGCAGCATCTTCCTGATAGTAGCAGAAATTACAATAAAAAAACTGCGGTTGCCAACCCGCTCGCCAAGCGTGGCAACTATGGCAAATACCCCCCTATGAAGAGAGTAACAAAGAGACGGCCCCCAGTCCACGGCGGCCCCGCTATTCCTGGCTACGGTGGCGACCATGGTAACGGCGGGGCAGGGGGTGCTACGATTCTCCGGTGGAGGTTCGGTTGCCACCTTAGACGACTCGACCTGGCAACGTACAACGCACGCACCCTGAGGACTGACGAGAAGATCGTGGAGCTGGAAGAAGAGATAGACAAGTTACGCTGGCATATTATAGGATTATCCGAAGTCCGAAGAGAGGGGGAGGACATGGTAATCCTCGAATCCGGCAACTTGCTCTACACCGGGAGGGCGACCATCTGTCCCAAGGAGGTGTCGGATTTAACGTCCACAAGTCTCTCGTTAACAACGGGTTGCGTACCTTATACTCAGAATCATCAAACGGTATTCGCTGAAGGTCATACAGGTTTACGCACCAACCTCGGCACCCCCTGATGAGGTGGTGGAGGAAATGTATGAGGATATCTGTAGAGCCATGCATTCCTTCAAAACCCAATATACGGTGTTAATGGGAGACTTCAATGCAAAACTAGGCACAAGAGAGAACAGTGAGCTGAAAGTAGGGAAATTTGGAATAGGGCAACGGAACCCAAGGGGCCAGCAGCTGGCCGACTTCCTGGAGATAGAGGGACTCTTTATGATGAACTCTTTCTTCCAGAAGCGGCCCCACAGGAAGTGGACCTGGTCGAGCCCCGACGGTTCGACAAAAAATGAGATTGACTTCATCACGACGACCAGACGACAACTGTTCAGTGATGTCTCCGTGATCCGGAGGGTGAAAATTGGTAGCGATCACCGAATGGTTAGAGGCACACTGAACCTAAACGTTAAGTTGGAGAGGTCTCGTCTAATGAAGTCAACGCTCCGTTCCTCTCGTGCTCTGTTCCAAAGTCCCGAATCCTTTCAGCTCGAGTTACAAAACCGTTTTCAGTGCCTAGAAAACTGCAATGAAGTGAACGATATGAATGACAAGCTCGTAGAAACTGTCCATACGGTCGGAGCTAAGTTCTGCAAGACCCGCCGCAGAAGAACACAAAAACTCTCCGATCACACTCTTAATCTCATGGCTGTGAGACGGGAGATGAAGCTACATTCTTCAACAGATTTGACAGCGTACAGGCAACTGAAGAGACAGATCTCCAAATGCATGCGGCGGGACTTACGCAACTTCAATATAGCTTGTATTGAAGAAGCGATCGAGCGGAACCAAGGCTCCAAAGTCTTTGCCAGAGATCTGTCTGCCAGAAAGAGCCAACTGTCAAATCTGAGGACCGAGTGTGGCAGCATCGTTTCCGGGGCACCTGAGATTTTGAGTGAGATTGAGAGGTTCTATGGGCAGCTGTACACGTCATCGTTGGAGCCACACGCAAGTGTGAGTAACGATCCAAGAGCGAGTCTTATCCGACACTATTCTGAAGATATCCCGGGCGTCAGTCTGAGCGAGATTAGAATGGCTCTCCAGCACCTTAAAAACGGCAAGGCCCCAGGCGAGGATGGAATTACAGCGGAGCTTCTGAAAGCGGGTGAAAAACCGGTACTTGAAGTCCTTCAGAAGCTCTTTAATTCCGTCCTCCATGGTGGCATTACACCGGAGGCGTGGAGCAGAAGTGCGGTGGTCTTGTTTTTCAAAAGGTGACAACGCTCTCTTGAAGAACTACACACCGATTTCCTTTCTGAGCCGCGTCTACGTGCTATTTTCGAGAGTCATTACGAATCGTCTCGACTCGATTTGACGACTTCCAGCCTCCCGAACAAGCCGGTTTCCGAAAGGGCTTTAGCACCATAGACCACATACATACCCTTCGGCAAGTTGTACAGAAGTCCGAGGAGTACAATTTGCCACTATGCCTAGCGTATGTGGACTATGAGAAAACCTTTGATTCCGTCTAAATTTGGGCGGTGCTGCAGTCCCTTCAGCGATGCCAAGTTGACTGTCGGTATATCGAAGTGCTGAAGTGCTTTGTACAAGCACTTCAGCACTTCGATATACCGACTACGGTAGGGCTACGATGGCTATTCGAGTACAGAACCAGAGTACGAAACCTATCCAATTGCAGAGAGGTGTAAGACAGGGTGACGTTATATCCCCGAAACTCTTCACCGCTGCATTGGAAGACGTTTTCAAGCTTCTGGACTGGAAAGGATACGGTATTAACATCAATGGCGAGTACATCACTCACCTTCGATTTGCCGACGATATAGTTCTTATGGCAGAATCGCTGGAGGATCTAAGCAGCATGGGCTCAATGACGTCAATAGTGTCTCCCAACGGATAGGTCTTAAGATGAACATGGACAAAACAAAGATCATGTTCAATGTCCATGTCACACCTATGCCGGTAGTTGTTGGGAGCACTAAGCTCGAAGTTGTTGACGAGTATGTTTACCTGGGACAAATAGTGCGACTAGGTAAGTCTAACTTCGACCGAGAGGTCAATCGACGGATTCAACTCGGCTGGGCAGCGTTCGGGAAACTACGACACATCTTCTCGTC